GCATCTGTTCCCCCTGTATTGGTCTGATCATGCCCTGGTAGCCTTGAGATTCTCCTATGCCACCCCCCTCCACAGGGAGGCAGGACCCATTCGATTGGTCCGCCCCCGGCGACTGATGGACCCAGTGGGGTTCCAGAGGGAGCTGGGGACTATACTTGAGGATCTGCTGCATGGTCCAGCAGAGACCCTGGCCACCACCTGGAATAAGGTGCCTGAGGCCTTGGACAAGATTGCGCCTGTGCGACCTCTCTTGATCCATCAAATCCGATGCTGCCCGTGGTTTACAGAGGACTTGAGGGTTCTGAAAAGGATTAAGAGACATCTAGACCGCCGCTGGAGGAAAACAAGGACCGAATCCAACCAAACACAGGCTAGAGCCGCTGTTAAGGCCTACCTTGTGGTGGTAAGAGCGGCGAAACGTCAACATTTCTCCACTCTTATTGCATCTGCAGGACGCCGCCCAGCGGCCCTGTTTAAGATCACCCGATCTCTTTTGGGAAAGGTGGGCCCAGTGACCCACCTACAGAGCTGCCTAGAGGAGTTTTCTGGGCATTTGGCGGATAAAATCGCTCGGATACGTTCCCAGTTGGATACCAAGCGTGTGGCATGGCCTGTAGAGATGCCTGGGGTATTACCTACCCTGTTATCTGGAAACAGTTTGACCCTGTTGGACCTGAGGAAGTGGACAGGGTCCTCTGGGCTGTCAATGCCACCACTTGTCAATTAGATCCAAGCCCCTCCTGGCTGGTTAAGGCAGCTCGGGAGGTGACGTGTGGGTGGGTCCAGGCAATGGTGAATTCATTCTTGATAGAGGGAGTGTTTCCAGCGGCCTTTAAAGAGGCGCTGGTACACCCCTACCTCAAGAAACCATCGCTGGATCCCACCATCCTGGACAATTTTCATCCAGTCTCCCACCTCCCCTTTTTAGGGAAGGTGGTTGAGAAGGTGGTGGCGTTGCAGCTCCAGAGGATACTGGATGAAACAGATTATCTGGACCCCTTCCAGTCAGGTTGCAGGTCCGGATATGGGACGGAAACAGCATTGGTCAAACTCATGGATGATCTCTGGCGGGAGCGGGATGGGGGTAGTACATCTACCCCCGCTCTTCTTGACCTCTCAGTGGGTTTCGATACCATCAACCATGGTATCCTTTTGGGTCGGCTCGGGGAGTAGGGGGTGGGTGGCACAGTCTTGTGCTGGTTCGCCTCCTTCCTCCAGGACCGGTCCCAATCAGTGTTGATAGGGAGTGAGAGGTCCGGCCCATGGCCCCTCCTTTGTGGGGTGCTGCAGGGTTCAGTACTTTCCCTGCTCCTTTTCAACATCTACATGAAACCATTGGGTGAGATCATCCACCACCATGGGGTGAGGTATCATCTATATGCAGATGATACCCAGTTATACATCTCCATCCCGGGTGATTTGAGTGATGCTATGACCGCCCTTTCGCGGTGCCTGGAGGCTGTGGGGGTCTGGATGGGGAACAACAGGCTTCAGCTGAACCCTGGTAAGACGGAGTGGCTGGGGGTTGGGGCTCCTCTTTATCTGGAGGTTTACCATCTTTGGTTCTTGATGGGGTAGCACTGCCCCAGACAGACCAGATGCGTAACCTGGGGGTCCTCCTGAACTCACAGCTCCCGCTTGAGGAGCAGATGGCAGTCATGGCCAGGAGGGCCTTTGCTTTGTGCACCAGTTGCGCCCTTTCCTGGATCAGGCCTCACGCCTTGGTCATCTCTCGTTTAGACTATTGCAATGCACTCTACATGGGGCTACCCTTGAAGAGTATCCGGAAGCTACAGCTGGTTCAAAATGTAGCCTTGCAGGCAATCTTGGATGCCCCAAGGAGGGCACATGTAACACCTTTGCTGTGGGAGCTGCGCTGGATTCCAGTTTGTTTCTGGGTCCAATTCAAGGTGTTGGTTATCACCTTTAAAGGCCTACATAGCATGGGTCCAGGTTACCTGAGGGACCATCTCACCCTCATTACATCAACCTGTCCTACCTGGTCTGGCAGAGAAGGCATGTTGCAGATCCCGTTAGTGAGAGAATGTCGACTGGCAGGTCCTAGGAGGAGAGCCTTCTCTGCTGTTGCCCCCACCCTATGGAATACTCTCCCACCAGAGGTGAGGCGGGCCCCTACCCTCCCAATTTTTCAGAGGGAATTGAAGACTTGGCTCTGCCAACTTGCTTGGGGTG